TTAATTGCCACCACCTAATCCTTGGTGTTACTACTTGTCGACGTTTTTTGGATTTTACTCATAATACACACATCAAGGACTAGGACCCTATGTTGTGTCGTTACAGCATCTTCAGGGATCACCTTACAATTTTTACAAAGTTTTCTATCTGTGTTCCTAACCAAAAGAAAATCAATCTGCGACCTTAAGGCTCCACTTTTGTAAGTGATGAGATGCTCATCTCTCTTCTTGAAACAAGTGTTGGCAATCTTAAAATCATACGCCAATGAGAAATCAAGAAGAGTTTGCCCTTCATTGTTTAGCTCTCCAAAACCAAAACCACCATGCACCCTCGCATACTGACCAGCTTCCCTCCCGACATGCCCATTAAAGTCTCCTCCAATAAAAATCTTTTCACTCTGTGGTATGTGTCGAATCAACCCCTCCAGATCCTCCCAAAATAATTCCTTAAGACTGGCTTCTGTCCCGACTTGCGGCGCATAAGTGCTAACAATATTAACAGTCTCACGTCCAATTATCATTTTTAAAGAAATAATTCTGTCTCCAATTCTCTAACTTCTACAACGTTCTTCTTCCACTCCTTATCTATAATGATGCCTACTCCATTGCATGCACTTACTTTTCCTGTATACCAAAGTTTGAAACCTTGAATATCCTTAGCTCCTTCTCCACGCCATTTTGTTTCTTGCAAGCAAAGGATATTGATTTTCCTTTGAATCATAACCCCTACAACCTCTATAGATTTACAATTTAATATCCCAACATTCCAAGTACCAAATCTAATTTTGCTCTTATGGACTAACTTCTTTAGCCACGTGCGTCCAGAATGACGCGGTAGCCCTTACTCATTTAACACTACATCCGGGTGCCGATGCAGCGGCTCTAACTCACTTATCACTGTACTCGAGCCATGCAGCGCGTTACTTACGGGCAACGACCTAACATTAACATTATAACGTCTATTGTCCATGTTCATGATAGATTCAACAAATTTTTACATTGGCTGTTGATGGCCTAACACAACCCTCCTCCTTTACCCGAGCTTGGGACCGGCTATAAACATAGGCGGAGTTTTTCTTGCTTAAGAGCAAAATTACTTATTTTGTATGAACATTAAAGTAAATTATCTCTCAATTCAACTAATTGTCTTTTAGCTTGGGGATTCCACTGGCAAAACCCAGCCACCCAATTTGGTGAGAGTTTCAATCTCCATTTTTGAGTCTTCTTCTAGTTAGAGATGACTCAAAAAAGTAGATTGAAACTCTCACTAAAGTTGGCGTGCCAGTGAAATCCTCAACCTAGAAGACACTAATTATAATGAGTTTTCAAATGTATTGGGAGCCGTTAAATTATGTGCACTTAAGAATTTATATTATTAGCCATATTCATCCATTTATTTCCTAGAAATGGATGAATGTGATTGTTTTGGTTCTTTATCTAATATTCTTTTGATTTATGAGTGTTGTTGTGGTGTTAAGTTTACGTATTGAGAAATTTCTCTTGATGCTTTAAGTGTTGAATGTCCAAATGCATTAATTTAATGGGGAAACATTAGGAGATAATTGATACACAAACTTTCGAATTCAATCATTCAATTAGTGTTCCAATCTCTAAATTGCAGATACTTTCAAGGTATTCCAGACGTCATTCCTGAGAATAAGCAAAAAGGTTGGTGTGCATGCTGATATAAAAATTCTTATGATTTATCTTTTGATATTCAAGTTCCTTCAAAAGAAAGTTTGAGCGAAGTGTTTCATATGGCATTTTATTGACAATGCCCTTGATTTTAGGCTACACAGAATAGGACTTGTATTTTAATTAGATAGATAGAGAGAGAGAGAGAGAGAGAGTTGCTTGATTATTTTGTTTGGTGAATGGTAATTGTTTAACTATTTAAAAATTGATTTTGAGCCTAGATATCTTATTCATAATTAAGTATCATATTTAAAGCCAATTCGACTTTTATATCATTTGTGTTATAATTGGAAGCGGATATCAATAGCAATCTAAGAGAAGCCTTGCAGCGGCGGGCAGTGGTGTCATCATCATAATGATTTATTTTGGGATAAGGTGATGAAGTATATTATAAGACATAACAAAATACTAACTTGGTTTTTTGATTGTTGATAATCTATTAGATTTCGTTATTAAACAAATGTTAATAGGAGATTAAGAAATTGTTTATAAATGCATTTATAATTTAGGCTTGGATACTTTTATAAATTCATGGTAATTCTTGAAATGTAATTTATGAAATAAATATATGATTGTGTTTCCTTTATTATCTTTAATGCATCTATGAGGAAAAGACTCATTCATCACATAGAATGCATTATATATTGGCATAACATTCATAGTTCAATTACACAGTACATGTTAATAAATTTATTCATATCAATTGCTTCATCATTGAAAAGCATAATATGATTACAAGATAGATAAATCACCGATCTTCTAAAAGCACCAACCTTTCAAATGCAAATTTAATTTGGCCTTAGCTTTCTCACTAGTACCAACGAGATTGCAAGTTATACTAGATGCTATTGATGAATTGGAAATAAGCATGCCTCCATGATCTGCTGAAGAGCAAAGGCCCCACCACTGTCCAAAATTCCACAATAAATCTAAATGCTATGCTCCCAAAGAACCAATTAATTCCATTCACATGGTCAGCTTCTTTGTGTTTGTCAATGGGGCCATCTGATGTACAATTAATGGTGAGTGGAGAACCACATAAATCATTGCCAACAAAACTTGATGCTTCAAAGCTTTGCAATTGGGTGCTTGTTGGAATTTTCCCCTTCAAATTATTAGAAGACAAGTTTAGGAAGTTTAGAAAGCTTAATTCAAACATACTTGACAAGATTTCACCTGAAAGATGATTTTTTGAAAAATCCAAAAATTTCAAATGATTTCATGTTGCCAATGTTTTGAGGGATTTGGCCAATGAAATGATTATTTGAAAGGTTCAAAAAATGGAATCCTTTAAGGTATGTAAGTTCCATTGGTATCACTCCAGATAATTCATTACTTGAAAAGTCAATATTTGTGATAAAACCAAATGGTGCTGTAATCATAAACTCTTCCTTTCAACAATAGTGTTTCAACTACCAATAATTGAACATTAATTTCATCAAAAGAAATGAAAGAGTCTAAACTTCTATTAATTATTGACATAGCACTCAAATGCTTGACACATTTTGGTACATGTCCTATCAACTCGTTTAAAATTTGTCAAAAAACTCATGCCACAAAGTTGATGAGGAATTGGACCAGAGAATTTGTTTGATCTAAGAACAAGGATCTTCAAATTTAACAACCTTTGTCCAATCCATGTTGGAATCCATTTTGAAAATTGATTCTTCCCAAGATTCAAGAAAATCAAGTTGCTTGTGTTCTTCAAAAAAGTAGGAAAGTATCCAGAAAGATAATTATTGCGAAGAGTCAATGTTTCCAACCATGGAAAGTATCCTATGGATATGTTTAAGATCCTAGTGAAACGGTGGTTCTCTAAGTTCATTGTCTTAAGATGTCACCATGTCATCCAGCAATCAGGTATTGTACCTAATAAATTATTTGATGCTAAGTTAAGAAACTTTAACGCCCTTGTCTCATCTTGTTTATGACACAAGGAGTGAGCAATTAATCCTGAAAACCAATTATTTGAAAGGTCTATGTACATCACATGCTGTGATACATAACATAATTGGCCATGTAACTTATTTGAGCTTAGAACAACAACAGAGGGATAAATTGTGTTTATTTGCATACTCAAAAGCTCTCTTTCAATTTGATTGTGACAGAGATTCAAATACTACAAATTATTGCCTATCATGTCCCAAAACTAAATTGGAAGAGAATCAAAAATTTGTGTTGGAGATATCCAAAAAAATAAAGATAGTTTAATGATTAGATCCATAAAGGAAAGTGGGGACCTAAATCCCAAGAGGTCAAAATTAAAATTTGTAACATTTGAAAAGAAGGACTCTAATTATGGCCTACTTGTAAAGTGAATTGATTTTTTGATGTTGAGAATAATTGCAAGTGGGTAACATTAACAAGGTGGGCTTCTTTGACAGCTCCTTGAAAGAGATTATCATCCAAAGAAAGCCAATTCAATTTAGAGTGTGATATTAGAATTTCAAAAGGATTTCCATGGAGTTGATTGTTTGAAAGTCTAGGATACATTAAAGATGTTAAATTTCCCAACCAACTAGGAAGTGAACCATGAATAGCGTTGAACCTAAGAGAAAGATATATCAAAGATGTAAGATTTTCCAAGGAGTTATGTATAAGATCTTGAATGGAGTTGTTAGAAAGATCAAGTTTAAAAAGATTTTTGAAAAGACCAATCTGACTAGTAAGATGGCCAGACAACTGAGTACTGGCCATATAAAAAATTTCTAATCCTTGCAAGGAACATCTAGAAAGAATTTTTAATACTTCAGAAATTTGTTGGTTGCATTTATTGCTTGAAAAAGACACTTTTTAAGTTGCAAGGATTTTTCACAGAATTTGGAATTGGCCCTCCTAAAAGATTATCACTCAAATCAAAGGTAACAAAAGAAATCAAGTTTCCAATGTTACTAGAAATTGTGCCAACCGAAGAGTTATCAGAGAGAATGAGAGACTTTAAATGATGAAAACTGTACATCCAATCAGGAATGGAAGAGTTCAACCAATTTGAAGACAAATCAAGATGTTAAAGGAGTGTTAAGTTTTGAATGCGCGCCATTTGGGATGGAACCTTGAAGAGCAATACTTAGTTGAAGATGAACCAATTTTCTCAATTGAAATATCCAATTTGGGATCAATAAAGTGACTAAAGAAGAATCATAAATACTAAGGACAACTAGAGATGAAAAGTTTGAGTTGGATGGTTGATAATGATTATTAAAATCAGAGTCTAACAAGTGCAATTTTCTTAAGGTGGGAAGTGAATGAAGAACCTGGAACCAAGCAAAGGCATTGTATAGGTTAACATTAATGAGCTCAAGTTATTAGAGAGAAGATAGAGCCGAAAGCCAATGAAGATTTTCAACAGATCTTGACATTACATATTCATCCATGGAAAATGGATAAGAATCTTCAAGTTGAAGATAGTTTAGATTTGAGAGGTTTTCAATTTCTTGAGAAATGCTTCCACTAAAACCATTACCTCCAAGGCCAAGATGGAGCAAATTGGAGAGATTTCCAATTTCATGAGGAATGCTTCCATTGAGATAAGAATTATCTCCAAGGTCAAGATAGTGCAAATTGGAGAGACTTCCAATTTGACGAGAAATGCTTCCTTCAAAATAATTACTTCCAAGATAGATCAAATTGGAGAGACTTCCAATTTGATGGGGAATGCTTCCTTCAAAATAATTACCTCCAAGGTCAAGATAGATCAAATTGGAAAGATTCCAAAAATGAAGAGGAATGCTTCTACCAAACCCAGCAGAAAATAGATTAAGATATGTCAAGTTTGCCATTGAACTAAGAAAAGCTGGAATTTGTATAAATCCAAAATCAATACCACTCAAGTCCAGGTAATTCAAATGCTTCAAATCAAGCACAGAAGAATGTAACTCACCACTAAACCATAATGTCTCATGTAATTTCTCGTATTTGAACTCTAGAGGAGGTGGAGTTCTGAGGTGAAGCTCAAGAATGTGGCTAGTGATGTTGCAAACAAGGAACTCCTAGTTGCAACAATTAATTCCACGGGGAGACCAAGAGGCAAGATTATTTGTTGGATCTGAGAGATGATGCTTCAACTTAAGCAAAGCATCCTGCTCACTTGGAATGCACTGAGCTTTAGAGGATGAACTGCAAATGCAGAAATCAACATTTGGCAAGGTAAGCAACCAAAGAAAAACAAACAGCAATATTTTTATTGCAGGAACCATTCATCATGACAACGTCAGCCAAATGCTTTGGCTCTCAAATTTTTTGATCTAACGGCTGATGCTTTCGCTGACAGAGGATTCTTGAAAGAAGAGCTAGTGTATATATAACGTCACTTGTGGATCTTTGTGGGTCTCACTGCACAAAAATTAATGTCAATCATTATAAAATTACATACGCACCCCCACATGTTGGCTCCAAAAAAACAAATTTTAATTTTGTGTGTTTGTTGCAAAAGAAATATTTTCCTATTTCTTTCTTTTTTTAAAGCCCGATCGGGTATATGAGTCAAATAGCTCAATTGATATTCAATAATCAACTTTTTTTTAATGAATATCATATTATATTAATTTTTAAGCAACATTTTTGCCAAAAATTTTACGATTAAATTATATTTGATTTATTTTGTTTTATGATTGTATTCAGTTGTAGTTCAATATACATTGCAAAAAGTTTCTTGTTACATAATTTTTCACAATGTAAGAAGCAAACATATCCACCATGCCATAAAAAAGAAAAAAATTAAATCATCTTGAAGTCATCATTTTATCTGAATAGTAACTTAATTTTTTGCCTCGCCCTTAAACCATTTTAATTTAAGGATACTTTTATCTACAAGATGATTAAATTATATATTAAATCTTTTGATTTGAAAAATATGCCAATATACATACCGAAAACTCTTGTCTAATCTAATATTATATATAGTCATTAAACATTATAAAGTTGAACGATAGAAGGTTAATTAATGTTAGCCAGTCTAACTACTGTTAGGTCTTGTTGTCAGAAATATAAAATGTTATTGAAAATAGTAGTGTTTACAACAACAAATAAAATAAATAAATAATATATAAAGTGTATCACAATTAACGTGTCGAACTTTTATTTTAAAAAAAAAACGTGTCTAATGGGCTTTCTGAGTAGAAAAGTCTTCTTTTGATTGATATTCCTCGTCGTAATTAACAACTGTACTGAACCCTTCAGAAACTTGAATATCGTGATGGTGAACATTTTAAAGTGGATGAATATTTTACTTAAAGAGCATTAATTTTTTTTGATAAATTGAAGAGCATTAATTAATTAATCTGTGTCATCCAGTTTAACTAGTATTAGGTGTTGTTGTCAGAAATATAGTATGTTATTGAAAATAGTAGCGTTTACAAAAACAAATAAAATGTAACTAACAAAATATAAAATAATATGTATAGTCTATCATAATTAACGTGTCGAACTTTTATTTTTTAAAAAAAAGGTGTGGAACGGGTTTTTGAGTAGAAAAGTCTTCTTTTGATTGATATAATGATATTCCTTATCATAATTAACTACTATACTGTACCCTTCACAAATTAACTTGAATAACGTGATGACAATTGATGAACATTTTAAATAGGATGCATATTTTACTTAAAGAGCATTAATTAATTAATCAGTGTCACCCAATCTAACTAGTATTAGGTACAGGTTTTTTTTCCCCAAAAACATAAAATATTATTAAAAATTTTAAGGTTTACAAAAATAAATAAAGCATAATGAATAATATAAAAATAAGAGAAATAACAAAAAACAAATTTTAAATCCAATTCAAAATATTAAAAATAAAAAATAAAAGAAACACATCACCATAACCATTCCAAACCTAACGGTCTCATTCCACGCATCAGATTTAACTTTATAGACAATAGAATATGGAATAAAAGGAGAGACAGATAAAAGGAAAAGCCATTGGTAGTTTCATAACATGTTTTGTTAGACATGAGGAAAGATCCAGGAAGTTGCTGATGAATATCAACATGGACATGAAGGCATTTATTGGTCACGTGACTAACAGGAATGTCAAGTTTTTATTTTTTAATGTTATTTTATTATTTCATTATTTTTTATAAAACATGAATTTTTTCTTTCTTTCTTTAAAAGATAAATTTCACAAAAATTTATAAATATCCACTTCAAAAGATTTAAATCTCTCAACAACAGTGCAACCGTAGATAGCGACCAACAAGCTTATAGCGATAATAACTGGATTGGACGTTGTCAATGATTAGGTCAGGAAATTTTGGTGGGCTGCAGATAGACCTGACTCGAAGGCTAGACTTCTTAAAAAGTTGGAATGATCAAACTCCACCCAAATTTTTTTTAAAAAAATTATATTAAAATCTCACATAAGAGAATTAATTATTGTAAGATTCATTGACGACTAAATTAAATTACATTGATAATACTACTGTAAAATTCATTGATAATTGAACTAAACTACAAGAACCTTGCAGTAATTAATTTTTTTATATGGGACCTAACTGTAATTCTTCCATTTTTTTATACATAAGGCAACTTGAATATTGAATTTTTTTAAAATTATTTTTAATTAAATAATATTTTGAGATATTTTATAGATTAAAAATAATAAAAATATGACAGTATAAATATTTTAAATTTTTTAAAAAATATTTATAATAATACATTTAAATATATAGTATTTTAGTATAAAATAACCTACAACTTAAATAATTAATTAATATTTGTTATATTTTTAAAAATAGGCCAAGTTCAAACCAGATCGAGCTTTGCCTGAATTTTTCCACGCCTAAGCTGAATAGGATTGGGCATAAAATTTTTTTTTTTTGCTAAGCCCAATCTCAAATTATTTCAGGTCGGTTTGGGTTTGGCTTAAATTACTAAACCTATCTATAATATCAAGCTTATGTCTATTTCTTGTCATAAGTTAAAAAAAAAAGGATTAAAGACTGATTAAGGAACTTTTTTTTCCAGATTAAAAGGAGTAGATATTTTATAAAATTTTTTTATTTTACATAAAGTAGATATTATTTTATATATGATTATGATAATACAAATTGATAATTATTTAATTATTTTTATATTTCATGATATCTTCGTGAATTTTTGTTTTAAAAAATATTTTGTTATTTAATTATTTAAAAATTTAATGATGTTTTTATGCATCTATGCATTTGTATGACATTCTGTCTCATACATTTTATTAAATTATTTCCTAAAACTATTTAAATTAGATTCTCAAACTAGTCAGAAATTTGTTTTTTAAAAATCTGATTATTTTTAAAAATTTAGAAAAATATCATAAAATAATTTCTTAAAAAAGAATAAGTGATTTTTTTTATAAAATAGCTTAAATATAGTCAGTCATATAATTAACGAGTGGATTGATCGTTTTTTTAGGGCACTGAAGTGTCTGGCATGGGCTTTCCAAGTAGAAAATTCTTCTCTAATTATTTTCTTCCATCAAACAATGAACAGTCTTACATTTACTATTCTTATGTGAAAAGCTTAAAAAAAGTTAGGAAAAGAAAGTGATCAGATAGAACGAAGGAGACAGAAAGTTAAATGTAAGCTATTCTATATACATATTACATACTTGTTGGTGAGAATTTATGATAAGAGACTAAAGTGACTAACAGTTAATTTAGTGTTTTTAAAGATTTTGTTGCATTTAATGATAAAAATATTGCTAGAGACAAATATGAATGTGACATAAACGTGCGTGTTCTGATCTTACTATATAAATATAATTTCATAAATTTAAACCATTTTTCTTGGACCAATGTAAGTCTGTACTCTTGTGCCCATCAACTACGGGATATATTTTTTTTAATTTAAAATAAAAAACTTTAAAACTAAAATTAAACCAAAGGCCACAGAACATGTATTTTGTTGCAGAAACTTTGCTAATACTTCCATACTATTTTCTTGAAGAAAATTTTTTGCTTATTTAAAAATTTTTAATGCACAAATTAAGATAATTTTTTTAAAAATATAATTAATTATTTTTGAAGACACTTGATTGTTATTTGTTATTATGTATTAGTGATTAGAATAATGGCATGTTATGGATTGGTCCTCTGTTATGCATGTTGTGCAAAAATATAGGCACCTAATTAATGAATAAGAGCAATAAAAATAAAACATAAGAAATTATATTTATATTTTTTTGTTTACATATTGGAAAGGAAATTTATTTTCATCGATCAAGTCCAAATGATTTTTTTCCTTCAAAACCTTCGATGTAAGAGTAACAAACAAATCCTATTTATATATAATGAAAATATTTTCCTTGTTATAAAGGATGTTCAATTTATGTAGTCAATCCTTTTATTTTAAAAATATGCCAAAATACAAATAATTTCAACATAACATTGACGTACCTCACCAAACATCATAAACACATCTACATTATCAATATTCATTTAGAGATAAATTGTATATGGGAATTTACAAGAAAATTAAATAAAAAATAAAAGAAAATTTCAGGGAGAAAATTCATCTCAATTAATCATTATGGACCATTCTATACATGTTCGCTTGTAAGAAGTTGACTAAGGACTAATTAAGAGCCATATATATAATTCTTCACAACTTGTGGAATGGGCATTCCAAAGGAGCAAATTCTTCTCAAATCTTTTTGATATTTCTCCATCCTTTTGCTATTAGTTTGGTCCCAACTTTCAAAATTTTCACACTTTAATAGCAAATGAATGAGACTATTTATTATTGGGCTAAAGTGCAAATTTTTCCTCGATGTTTTCTTAAAAGTACAATTAGTATCTTAAAATATTTAAAAGTGCAATATCACTTTGACATTTTTCAAAATGAAACAATTTTACCCTATTGTTACAAAAGGCCCACGTTGACTGTTATCTTTACTTGTTTGATTGTTATCTTTCAACTTGCATGTCACATCACTTGCCATATAAGATGGGGTCATTTTAAAGCTTAAAATAAAAATCAAAACACACTTTCTTGACTTTGTTGTATTCATTCTCACTTTGCGACTTCATTTTCATCTCCCTCAGCTTCTTCGTCTCTTATTGACATGTTGTGATATGTGATACAATAGGGCAATAGGTTCACAATTATGAATTATGTTTGCATAATCTAAGTTAAAGGATTGGAGCTTGTGGTTATATTATTTGTTATTAGCTTGTGGTCATATTACATGTTTGCAATAGGCTCAGTACATCAAAAAGGCCCCAATCAGAGTATGTTATGTTTAGTTCAATATATGCTTGACTACATATTAAGAACCGATCACTCCCCCAAAAACTTAAGCAACCACTATAATTAGGATGCCAAAGGCTGATTTTACTAATATATCCTTCACACACTTCAAATGAAAACCTTGTGTTGAAATTAGTTTAATTAGAAAAATGAAAGCATAAAGAATTGAAGTCTTGAGTGTGACTTTTTTTTTTTGTTCATCACAAGTATCCTCTTATTAAAGGCAATCATATTTGAGGCATGATCAACCACTAAATATGGGTGCTTCTCATTGTGGGGATTCAAATCTTGGTTCGCTATATTATGAGGGATTAGCCCATTTTGCTTGACTCAACTTCTTTTTGACTATTTAGTTATACTTTTGATACCATGTCAAAAATCCACTTTCCCATGGCTTATGCTGTTAAAAAAGGTTGACATTTCTCTTGGGGAATTTTATAATAGCTATTTTCTAATAGTCTTTGATTTTTTTTTTTGACCATGATAGTCTTTGGCTTTTAATAATCCGTGTTTCAGTGATATCATATTAAAATCTCACATTTAAAATCTGTGCATTTAAAATATTTTATTTGAATAGTATCTAAAATTTTAAAGATAACAGAAAGACAAGCTAATAATATTTGAAGCAGAAGTGGAAGGTTAAAAATTGACTAGCTAACTTTATTTTTAAACTACTGAGAGACGCAGACGAGAAAGAGAGGAGATGTAAGAGTAAAAAAAGTATCAATAATAAAAACATGGGGAAAAAAACAGTGCCAATGTAGTTGGAATTTCATAGTGTGTGGAATGGGCATTCGAAAGAGAAAAATTGTACAAGTATGTGTTGTGGAAAATTCTTTTGTCGCCATAATCCAATCTTGTAAAATCTTTCATAATTGACTTGTTATTTATGTGCGTGTAAAAAATGGCAAAGTTGCAATTTCTTTTTTTAGTTGTAATTCAATTTTTCTTTTTAGTCCTTTGTGCTAGACTTGTTACATATACATATAAATAAAATCATAAAATTTTATGGAAAGTTACTCCGTGCACTATAATTTTTGAAACTTTTCAATAAAAGAAAAACTTTAAAAGGTTGATCGAATAAATAATGTATAAATTAAGAAAAATATAAAAACAAAAACATTTTTTAAAAAATCAAATTAATTTTTCTTGAAGCCAGGCCACATGATCATTTGTGTATTAGTGGTTAGAATAAAAGCCCATCATCTAATTGATAACCCTGTTATTTTCTCAAATGCTGTATCCATGCAAGTTGGGATGTCCATTTCATAAAACATTAAAGCTAATTAGTCACATACTAAATATGAGCAATATTAATAAATTAGGACATAATGAATGATATATATTTATATAATTTTTATGAATAAGAGTAAACTTATTTTCATTCATATATAGGGCCCAAATGTTTTCATGAAAAACCTCCATGTAAGAATAGAAAAGAAATCCCATCTGTATTTGATTATATATTGTTTTTCTATTATAAGAGATATTCAAATTATATATTCGGTTCTTTAATTAATCTTATTTTAAGAATATGCCATCATAGTATTGATTTCATCTTAACATGTAAGTAGCTGGCCAAAATAATTCTTTTATCCACTTTGTACGATAAATAAATAAATATATATATATATATATATATATTATTAGTATTCAGTGTAAGATTACTCACTCATCTTTTTCGTTCATTTGAATATAATTAAAAAGAGGCATCTAATTGTATAGTCATACAACTTAAAAAATTGGTTGTGAACTAACAAATTTAATCTTCATGGTAAATCCTTGAGGATTTAATTTAGAGGTCCCTAGCTCGGCGCTGGGAAAAAAAATTGGTTGTGATTACAGAAAATTTTTCATAGGATTCGTTGTCATTATTCTATAGATGTTCGTACCTAAGAATATGATTAGAGATTAGATGAGAGCCTCATAATTAGTCACAACGTGAAGAAGAGGCTTTCCAACATTTTTTTCCATTACTTTTGTCCGAACATTTAATATTTTCACGCAAGAATTGTTAATGAAAAATAATATTTATTTTTATTTGGAAAAAAGAAATTATTAAATTACGCGTTGCGGAAAATTTTGTTGTTGTCATAATCTAATATTGTAAAGTCTTTCGTAATTGACTCGTCGTCATGAATATTAAAAGCGTCAAAATTACAAACAAGGTTTTTTAATGCCAAATAAATTGTTTTTAAAGTCTTTTGTTATTGACTTATTACTGTCCGTCAATAAGGGCAAACAATATATATATCATAAAATTCAATGAAAGCTTATATTCAAGCACTGTAATTTTTTAAAATTTGTGATAAAAGAACTTAAAAACTCAAATAAGTTAGAAAGATCAAAGAACTTGAATTTAGTTATGATTCGATAAAAATATTTTCTCTCAATTATTTTTATCTTATGGATAGTTACTGCATGGGTTTGTGGTTACAAGGAATATCTGAAATTATTGCCATCACATTTCAGATTTTCTATCATACTAATTCTTAATAGACTCAACTATAACAAAAATAAACACACCAGATAAAATAAGAATGTTACAAGCAAAGTTTTTTAGAGTTATCAACTTCGTTTGGTCAAAAAGTTATCAGCTTTAACTCGTGAGAATTATAATAAAGATATTTAAGAATGAATTTAATAAAATTATAATACATGAGTGAAATTAATTTTCTCTCTATTAGTTGCCATGGACAACCATCAAACCAATTCTAGAGAATGTGGAGTGATACATCAAAAAGGCCCGGTTCAATATATTCTTAGCTTGACTATGTATTAGAAAATGTGGATTGATCTTAGGTCCTCATATTGACAGTGGGATTCAAACTTATGATTTTGTGAGTTATGAGCAAATCTTTATCAATTGGACCAGCCGTTATTAGTAAATTAAATTCTTTTTGAAACCATGTGATCATTATTGTGCATTTGTACAGTTAGAGTAATGGCCTATCATCTAATTGATATGGATGAGTACTTTTATATTTTCTCACATGCCTATCATCTAATTGTATTCATGCAAGTTGGGGTGTTTATTCAATGCATTTTTATTAAAGTTTAATGACCTAATAAATATAGGTAATATTAATAAAAATTACGGCATAATAAATTATATTTAAATAATTTTTATGAATATAAGGAAACTTCATTCAAATATAGGGTCCAAACTAATTTTTTCATGAAAATCATCCATGTAAGAATAGAAAACAAATCAAATCTATATTTGAGGTACACTTTTTTTTTTAATTATAAGAGATATTCAAATTATATATTCGGTCTTTAATCGTATTTTACAATATGCCATAATAATTATATTGATTTCACCTTAGCATACAAGTACGTGCCAAAATAATTCTTTTATACACTTTGCACTAAAAACACATCTATATCGTCAGTATTCAATGTAAAATGCATCGAATTTTTGATAATTAGTTTTTATAATTTATAGTATTCACAGTTAAGCGTCGTGTTCAAAGCCCATTTGGCTTTCATATTATTTGTATTATAATGGGAATTGGATATTAATGCCAATCAAAGAGAAGTCTACTGGCGGCAGTGGCATCATCATCATAATGATTTATTTTGGTGTAAGGTGTTGAAGTATACTGTAAAATATAACAAAATACTAACTTGGTTGTTTGATTGTTGTTGATGATAGTGTTACTGGTTTTGTGAGATGTAGTATTACTTACTGAAGGTTAATGCATTGAATATATTAGGTTTCATTATTATATAGATGTTAAATTGGAGATTATGAAATTGTTCATAAATGCATTAATATTTTAGGTTTGGAGCCTTTCATAAATCCACGTTAATTCTTAAAAGGTAATTTTTGAAATAAATACATAAATGTGTTTCGTTCGGTCTTATCTTTAATGCATCTATTAGAAAAAGACTCATTCATTGCATGGAATACATTATACAATGGTTTAATATCCATAGTTCAATTACACAATGCCTGTCAAAGAATTTATTTATATCAATTATCTCATCATTGAAAAGCAAAATATGATTACAAGATAGATAAACCGCCTATCTTCTAAAGACACCAACTTTCCAAATCCAAGTTCGCCTTAGCTTTCTCACCAGTACCAACAAGATTGCAATTTATACCACATGTTATTGATAAATTTGAAATAAGCATACCTCCACGATCTACTGAAGAGCAAAGGACCCACCATTGCCCAAAATCCCACAATAAATCCAAATGCCATACTCACAAAGAACCAATTAATTCCGTTTACAACTTCTTGGTGTTTGCCATTAAAGCCGTTTGATGTACAATTGATGGTGAGCGGAGGACCACATAAATTATTGCCAATAAAACTTTATGCTTCAAAGCTTTGCAATTGGGTCCCTGTTGGAATTTTCCCCTTCAAATTATTGCAAGACAAGTCTAGAAAGCTTAGAAAGCTTAACTCAGACATGCTTGGCGGGATTTCACCTGAGATACGATTTCTTGAAAAATCCATAGACTCCAATGATTTCATATTGCCGATGTTTTGAGGAATTTGGCCAATAAAAAGGTTATTTGAAAGGTTCAAAAAATGGAGTCCCTCAAGTGTTGCAAGTTTTATTGGTATCACTCCAGATAATTCATTACTTGAAAAGTCGATACTTGTGATAAGACCAAGGATGGTGCTATAATTACAAACTCTTCCTTTCAATAATAGTGGTTCAACCACCAATAATGCATCAATATAAACGTCTTGAAAAGAAATGGATGAGTCTAAACTACTATTAATTACCGACATAACACTCAAATGCTTGACACATTTTGGTATATGTCCTGTCAACTCATTTTGTGCAAGGTCTAAAATTTGCAAAACACTCATGCCACAAAGTTGATGAGGAATTGGACCAGTGAATTTGTTCGATCTAAGAATAAGGATCTTTAAATTTGACAACCTTTGTCCAACCCATGATGGAATCCTTCCTGAAAATTGATTCCTTCTTAAATCCAAGGAAACCACGTTGCTCGTGTTCTTCAAAAAAGTAGGAAAGTTTCCAGAAAGATTATTATTGTGAAGGTTCAATGTTGCCAAACATGGGAAGGATCCTATGGATATGTTTAAGATCCCAGTGAAATAGTTATTCTCTAAGTTCACTCTTTGAAGATATGGCCATGTCATCCAGTAATTAGGTATTTTACCTGATAAATTATTTGATGCCAAATTAAGAACTTCTAACATCATTGTCTCCTCTTGTTTATGACACAAGAAATGAGCAATCGATCCTGAAAACAAGTTGCTTGAAAGGTCTATGAACATCAGATTTTGTGATGCATAAGGTAATTGGCCATGTAATTTATTTGAGCTCAAGTCAACAATAGCAAAGGAGGAAGTTGTGTTTATATGCATTCTCAAAAGCTCCCCTTCAATTTGATTGTGAGAGAGATTCAAATACAGGAGATTATTGCCTATTGTGTCCCAAAACCAAGTTGGAATATAATCCGAAATCTTTGTGTTGGAGATGTCCAAATAATAAAGATGGTTTAGTGACTGAATCCATGAAGGAAAGTAGGGACCTAAATTCCAAGAGGCCAAACTTAACAAATCCAAGAGTCGAAATGGAGGACTCCAATTAGGGTCTACTTGTAAAGTGAATTGGCTTTTTGGTGCCAAGAATGTTTGCAAGTGGGTAAAATTAACAAGGTGTGTTTCTTTAACAACTCCTTGAAAGAGATTATATCCTAAATAAAGGTAATTCAGTTTAGAGAGAGATCCTAGAATTTCAAAAGGATTTCCATCAAGTTGATTATTTGTGAGATCAAGGAGCATCAAAGATGTTAAATTTCCCAATGAGCTATGTATGGGACCTTGAATTGAGTTTTCAGCAAGATCAAGATGAATAAGATTTTTGAAAAGACCAATTTGGTTGGTGAGATGGCCAGATAATTGAGCATCATATATAGAAAAAATTTCCAATGCTTGGGAAGCACATCCAGAAAGGATTTTTAATATTTCAGAAATTTATTGGTTGAGCTTATTGCTTGAAAAGAACAATTGTTTCAAGTTGCAAAGATTTCTCACTAAAATTGGAATTGGCCCTTCTAAAAGATTATAAGTCAAGTCAAGAGTAACAAGAGAAGTCAAGTTTCCTATGTTACTAGAAATTGTGCCAACCAAAGAGTTATCAAAGAGAATGAGAGACTTTAAATGACTAAAACTGTATAACCAATTGGGGATGGAAGAGTTGAACCCATTTTGAGACAAATCAAGATGTTGAAGGAGTGTTAAGTTTTGAATGCCATTTGGGATGGAACCTTGGAAATCATGATCACATAATTGAAGATGAACCAAATTTTTCAATTGAAATATCCATTTTGGGATCAATGAAGTGCCAAAGTAGCTACTAGAAATAACCAGGACAATTAAAGATGAAAAATTTGAGTTGGACAGTTGAAAATGATTATTAAAATCACAGTCTGACAAGTGCAACTCTCTCAAGGTGGGAAGTGAATGTAGAACCTGCAACCAATCAAAGGCATTGGATAGGTTTACTTGAATGAGCTCAAGATATTGGAGTGAAGACAGAGCTGAAAGCCAATGAAGATTTTCAATAGATGTTGACATCAGTACATATCCATCCTTGGGAAATTGATAAAAACCTTCAAGTTGAAGATAGTTTAGATTTGAGAGGTTTCCAATTTGATGAGGAATGCTTCCCCTAAAATCATTACCTCCAAGGCCAAGATGGACCAAATTAGAGAGATTTCCAATTTGATGAGGAATGCTTCCATTAAGATAATTATTTCCAAGGTCAAGGTAGATCAAATTGAAGAGACTTCCAATTTGATGAGGAATACTTCCTTCAAAATGATTAGCTCTAAGGTCAAGATAGATTAAATTGGAAAGATTCCATAAATGAAGAGGGATGCTTCCACGAAACCGAGCATGAGATAGGTTAAGATATGTCAAGCTAGCCATTGAACCAAGAAAAGTAGGAATTTGCATGTCACCGAAATCATCACCACTCAAGTCTAGGCAATTCAAATGCTTCAAATCAAGCATAGAAGAATGTAACTCACCACCAAACTTTGATGTCTCATATAACTCTGAAGGAGGTGGAGTTGTGAGGTGAAGCTCAAGAATGTGGCCTGTGATGTTGCTACAAACAACGAACTCCCAGTTGCAACAATTAATTTCATGGGGAGACCAAGAGGCAAGCCTGTTTGAAGTATCTGAAAGATGATGCTTCAACTTAAACAAGGCCTCTCATTCACTTCGAGGGCACTGAGCTTGAGAGGATGCGCTGTAAATGTATAAATCAACATCTGATAAGGTAAGCAACCAAAGAAAACCAAACACAACAATATTTTTATTGCAGGAACCATCCATCATGACAATGTCGGCCAAATGTTTTCACTCTCAAATTTTTTGATTTAATGGTGGATGCTTTCATGGACATAAACACTTGAAAGAAGGTCCAGTATTTATAATGTCACTTGTGGACCTTTGTGGGTCTCACCTGACAAAAATTCATGTCCTTCATCACAAAATTTAAAAAATTGACAGCCTTCTAATCTAACTAGTCATAACGTGTGGAATGGGCTATCCAACTTCTTTTTCTATTATTTTTGTGGTATATATCTGCATCAATGTGCTATTACTTTTGTCCTAACATTTAAAGTTTTCACACAAGAATTGTTAATGAAAGATACTATTTATTATTATTTGGAAAAAAATAAATTGTTAAATTTTGTGTTGTGGAAAATTCTTTTGTTGTCATAATCTACCATTTTAAAGTCTTTCATCATTGACTCATTAATCGTTACACGTATTAAAAATTACAAAATTACAAACAAGTTTTTTTCAAGTCAAAATATTTCTTTTTAAAGTCTTTCGCCGATATTTTATTACTCTTATGCCCTTCAATAAGTGGAATACATACAGTACTAAAATTCAATGAAGAGCGAGTGTATATATAATGTCACTTGTGGTCCCACAATATCTTTGGGGGTCTCACTCAACAAAAGTTCATGTGGATCCTTATAAAATTAATATATATACATATATATATATATATATATTGGGTCAAAAAAGATTTTAATTTGAGAGATTTACTTTTAGGTCCCACACAATATAATTAAATATTATAATGTTTATTAATAAGTGAGCAACACAAAATGACAATTAAATGTGTTATCATTTTTCTTGGCTAAATTATTGAACAACCTTGTGATATATTTAAATATAGTATGGGAGATTTGTTTGCAATTCTCCCTTTTTAGTTTTGTATGTTTGTTGTGATAGAAGTATTTTTCTATTTTCTTTAAACCTGATTGGATATATGAATCAATGGCCTAATCAATATTCAATAATAACCTTTTTTTTAATGAATATCAAATTATGTTAATTTTTAAGCAACATTTTTGCCAAAATTTTTAAGATTAAATTACATTTGTTGGATTTTGTTTTAAGATTGTATTCAGTTACATTTCAATGTACATCGCAAAAAGTTTCTTGTTAACATAATTTTTCATATTGTAAGAAGCACGCATATCCACCATGGCATTTTTTTTTTGGGGGGGGGGGGGAGGACTTCTATATCATCCTTTTCAAGGCATCCTTTTATCTCTAAACAATGATTTCTTTTTATCATGCATGCACTCAAACCACTTTTATTTTAAGGATATTTTTTTATCTATTATAAAATATGTTTAAATTATATATTAAATCTTTTGATTTGAAAAATATATCGATATATACACAGTGAAAACTCGTCTAATTATACACACACATATATATTTTCGTTGAACATTATAAAGCCGAATGATAGAATGTTAATGTTAGCCACTCTATACATATACGGTTGTGATGAGTTTTTTCCCCCTAAAAACAAAATTATTAAGAGCCACACGCACATATAATCAGTCATAAGGTGTTGGATGGGCTTTCTAAGTAGAAAAGTCTAATATTTTCTTTTGATTGATATTCCTTGCCATATTTAACAACTGTATTATTCATAGACTTGAATAGTGTGGTGATGAAATTATGACCACTCTATTTCTTGATATAAATAAAAAAAATTATGGCTTATTTTGTAAAAAGTTGATTAAAGACTAATTAAGGATCTCTTTATTTAAGATTAAAAAGAAGTAATTTTTAAATAATTTAAATATTTTATTCTGATTTTATAAAAATCAGATATTAATTACTGCATTTTATATTTGATTAACAATACAAATTTATTATTATTTTGTCATTTTTAGAATGCACGATATCTTCTTGAATCTTTGTTTTTTAAAAATATTTTGTAATTTAATTATTTTAAAAAAGTTGATATGTTCTTGTATCTATATATGCATTTTTATGACATTCTGTCTCATACCATTAGAGATAAAAGAAGTTTCACATTAAAATTAAATTAGAAGATAGATCATGAATATATAAAATTTGGGATGTACCTAAGGTTTAAGCTATTTTGATAAAGTAAAATATTCTTGTTTTAACTTAATATAAAGAATTTATCATGATATCAAGAGTCATTTGATCGGGAACAAAAACAAGAGACCCAAGAAAAAAAGTAAGAAAAGAAAGAATGAAAAATGAAAAAAAAAACAAGAGATTAAAAGGAAGGGTTAAAGATAATTTTTCCAACCTTTTTTCGAGGAGCGTTAGGTACCTTGTATTGATAAGTGGGGCAATATTTTTCCTAAACTGTTTTTTCAAAGTGCAATCTTATCTTCTGTTAAAGAACAATTAATTTCAACGTTATCTACCTACTTGAATTATGTGTGAGCCCCATTAACTATTTGACTTGATTTATTATTGTTGGATTAAAATGTTAATTTGCCGTTGAATTCTTTTTCCAAAAACATTAGATATCCTAAAATCTTATAAAAATAAAATTTAATAAATATTTTAATAGACCCATGACTTGCGCCATGAGTTATAAGTTTGTACTTGTGCCCGTCAACTACGGAATATAATTTTTAAAATTTAAAATAAAAGCTTTAAAAACTAAAATTAGTAAACCAAAGACATCAAGAACATCCATTATGTTGCAGAAAGTAGCTGGTTGTTAATACTTCCATAACTATTTTCCTGAAGAAAGTTTTTGCTTCTTTAAAAATTTATAATGCAGAAGTTAAGAAAATATCAAGAAAATCTAATTAATTCTTTTTTAAGACACTTGATCGTTATTAGTTATCATGAATTAATGATTAGAATATTGGCCCATCATCTAATTACTTGATATGGATTGGCCCTCTGTTATGCATGCTGGGCAAAAATATAATCTAATGAATAAGAGCAATAAAATAAAGATATAAGAAATTATATTTGTATAATATTTTTTACCTATTGAAAAGGAAATTTTTTTTTTCATCCATCAAGTCCAAATGATTTTTTCCTTGAAAACCTTCGATGTAAGAGCGACAAACAAATGCTGTTTATATATAAGGAAAAATTTTTCTTTGTTATAAAGGATATTCATATTATTTAGTCAATCCTTTTATTTAAAAAATATGCCAAAATATAAATAATTTCAACATACATGACATTTAAGTACCTGGCCAAATATTATAAACACATCTACAATATCAATATTCATTTAGAGAGTAAAATGTATAGGGGAATTGCACTATTTACTAGAAAATAAATAAAAAAGAAAAGAAAATTCCAAGGTCAAAATTCATCTCAAATTGTCGTGGGCCATTCTATACATGTTTGCTTGTAAGAAGTTGATTAAGGACTAATTAAGAGCCATATAATTAGTCACAACTTGTGGAATGGGCATTCTAAGGAGAAAATTCTTTTCAAATCGTTTTGATGTTTCTCCATCTTTTGCTATTACTATGGTCCCAACTTTGAAATTTTCCACACTTGAATACTACCTGAATGAGACTATTCATTATTCAAAGAAAATAAGTTGTTAAAGTATGTACTGTGGAAAATTCTTTTATAGCCATAATCCAGCTCTTTAAAGTCTTTCATCATAATTAATTGACTTATTATTTTCTTACATGTTAAAAACGGCAAAGTTAGATTCTTTTTTATCCATAATTAAACTTTTTTTTTTGAAGTCTTTGATTATTGGCTTAATACTCTCGTGCACATCAATAACAATAAAATCATACAACTCCATGAATACAGTTACTCCAAGTATAATATAATTTTAGGTAGTGTTTGGATTGATAAGTTTAAATTTTAATTTTAGATTAAAAATCTTACATTTAAAATCCATGCATTTAAAATCCTTCATTTGCATAATGTAGACAATTTTCAAGATATATGTAGACAATTTTCTAGTGGACAATTCATCTGTAGTCATAATTCAACTTTATGAAGTCTTTTGTGATTGACCCATTATTGCCATCCATATTAAGAATCGAACAAATACAAACAAGATTTTTCCAAGTCATTATTATATCCAATTTTTTTTGAGTCTTTCCTCATTTAAATTCATTTAAATACATCATATAAATTTTAATTTAATTATTTGTTATTTATTTTTTTATTTTATTATTTTTTTCAATAAAACTTTAGGTCATTACAGCAATGTTCTCAATGCCCTATAAGGATTGAAAATATTGAAAAAAATTACAAGGACTAAAAGATATTCAATAAAATTATAAAAATTAATAATTTTATTTTTTTAAAATATTTTCTCTTAACTATTTTCCTATGGGAAGTTGCTTTGTAGATTGTGTACATCTGAAATTATTACGATTATATTTAAATTTTTTTTATCATACTAATTCTCCTTAAACTCAACTCCAATAAAAAAGAAGGCACAAGTTAAAATAAGAAAGTTGTGTCCAAAGTATTTTAAAGTTATCAAATTTCTGGTCAAAAAGTTACCGGCTTTTATACGTAGGAATCATCAAGAAAATGAAATCCCATAAGTACGTTTTCTTTTAATTTTTAAAAATTAAAATTTTTAATTATAATTTTTCATATTCTTTTTTACAAAAAATTAAAAAATAAATAAATTTTAATTTTAAAATTTAAACATATATTTTAAAGTTTAAATTTAATTTAAAAATTTAAAAATATTTTATTTTTTAAGGGGTAAAAAAAATGAGTCTAAATGAATAGACCAAGCTCTTTTTTTAGGGTTTATTATGGCTGAGTTTCAAAGCTTAACTTTTTTTTTCAAAAAAAAAAAGGATTTTAAACCCAAGCCTTGTATTACTTTTGTCTGAACATTTAAATTTTTTAACAAGAATTGTTAATTAAAGAGACTATTTATTGTTTGGAGAAAAGAAATTGTTAAAGTATGTGTTGTAAATATTATTTTGTTGTCCTAATCCAACTTTGTAGTCTTTGATAATCGACTCTGTTAAAAATGGTAAAATTACAATAGAGATTTTTTCAAATAAGAATTCAAATAT